CCCCCCGGGGGACAGAGTCCCGCGCCCCCGCCGGGCGGGGCGAGGAGCCGCCCTGGGAGCTGGCTCCGTTCCCGGGGCCCTGATTTGACGCGTGTGGGGTTTCTATTCGAGCCTGGCAAAGCGCGTGGCCTGAGGCGGCGAATGGGCGAGGGGTTGGCGGAGCTGCGCTGCTGTGCGGTAGCCTTTCCCGTGGAAAGACTCCGGGCGGAAAGGGGAATTGATCGGTTACGCAACTTCAGGTAGCCGAAGTCAGCTTCAAGGGGGGGGGCTGCTCCAGCCGGGCCGCCCCGTCAGTTAACCACTGGCTTCCCCAGCGGACCTCTTCAGAGCTGCTTACTGGGGTGTCTTCACTGGGATGTGCCAGCTGCTCCCCTCGTGCTTCTCATTGAGGTGGAGTACTGGAATCCACACTAGAGCAATTGGCTGTTGATTTATGCCCTCTGTTCTAGACTCGATAAATCAACCTTCACTGGATTGATTGCTGCCTGTGGATCAGGCAGGTAGTGTACACATACCCTAAGGACGTGGTTTAGAGCTGTCCCATTGATTTAGACTTTGTCTTCACTGCAGGTTACTTCGGTATAATTTACATCATTCAAGGATGTAAATATTAACCCATACCCCTGAGTGAAGTAATTACACTGACATAAAGTGACAGCATGGACAGTATTGTAGCTATTGCAGAGGCAAAAGTTATTAAACCCTCTCCTACTCTCTTACATCTCCACTGCAAGTGCTACTGCTGTAAGTTGTTCTAGCATATATGTAGCTGTAGCAACTAGGGGTGTTAAGTAGTGGTTAATAAGCTAATTGAGTAATCAATGGAATTTCCATCACTAGTTAATAAAAGAGTTAGCTCCCAGGGGTGGCACGATCTGGCTCTGGGACCACAGTGCCTTTGCTTTTTTAAATGTAGTAAGAGCTGCCTGGCACTGACTACATTTAAAAGGCAGAGCCGCAGCAGGTGCAAGCTGGGAGTGCTGTGTCTCCTGGCTTGTGCCGGGTCCCCTGCTGCACCTCTGCCTCCCCTGCCCTCCTCTTTCTCTGTGGAGATGGTGTTGAAGGGAACTGGCTTCTAAGATGGCTCTCCCAAGCATCGGTTCCTGCTCTCCCCACATTGCTGCAGCTCGGGGCCGGCGGAGCGAGTAGTCGAGTAGTGACATCCCTAGTAGCAACTCCTACCTCTGCAAGAGGTAATACTCTCCTACCAACATAGTACTATCTACACCCACACTTAGGTTGGTATAATTTACATTGCTCAAGGGTGTAGATTTACACATTCCTAGGTGATGTAATTTATGCTAATATAATTCGTAGCGTGGACATAATCTCTTTCCTGCTGGTGTCAGTGCATAGTAACATGGTGAACGCAGTGGGTTAATGGTGCAAGAAGAGAATTGGCCCCATGGGATGGACCACTGTTGAATCTAGTGTGGTGGTCTTTGTTTCTGCCTGTGGGAGGGGGTGCGTGGTTCTGAAATAGGCATAGTTAGTCTGCATCATCTTGCCTTAACTTGGTTCTGTTACCTATTATCAGTGCACAGCTAGCTTTTGTTTTTAATTTTATGAACCTAAGTGGTCAGCTTTTTCTTTAGTTATTAATATTTCCTTTATTTAGTCTTTTAAGTGATTTGTTATGACTTATGAAACACTAATTTGGCTGCTTCCCCGAGCTGATACATCCATTTTGAGAAGGAATATGTGTATGATTGGGAGGATCACATCATGCAGTATGCATTACCTACAAGTAATTGGATCTGGAAATATATTATTGCTCCATAAATATATTTTTTTTCTAAAACAATAAATACGTACAAGCAAATTGTTTCTGAGATTAAGATGCAAAAGGAAATTGTAGATATTGGCTCTGATGTGCAGACTCCTCTTAGTCTTACGTGCTGTGTAGAACAGAGTAGAAATAAACATAGGATCAGAAGACTTGTATAAATTTTATTTTCTTTAAATATGCGGCCAGCATAACTGATCAACTTCACAAAGAAACTTGCACAGATCCAAACTGACATCATCTTCCTTTCCTGATCCATAGTAGTTATTGACATTTGTATTCAAAGCAAGGATTAAATCTATATATGATTAGGTGGGCTTTCCACACTTAGGCTGAATGTATGCAGAATAAACATTGAGAATTTTCAAGTAAATCAGTGAGCTGGTTGGGGTAATTTTTTTTTAAATTGCACTTTTTTATTTCTTTAGAAAATTCTTGAATTCTGATATTTGAAAATTGACTTCTAAATTATAGCAAAATGTAAGACAGACTACTTTGTAAGTTTTTAGTGTTTACATTTTTATTTATTTTCATTAGCCATAATAGTTTTTGTTTACATTCTGATTGTTGTACAATATTTTCATTATCAAAAGGGTTATCTGATAGCAGGTCTGCACTAGAAAGCTTTGCCAATAATATGTTGCTTAATATGTTGCTATGGAGTTTTTTCTGAGATAGTTATACTGGTAAAATCACCAGTATAGATGCAGCTATATCAGTATAAAAGTTCCTCTAGTAGAGCTCTTCAGCCTTCATTTAAAAATAAACTATTTCTAGCTCTCTTTTTTTGTGGAAAAAAAATTAAACTAGGAAAGTTCAAATCAAGACAATATTGCTCTCCTAAGTGTGCAGACAATGGAAAATATCTTTGAGTTTTGAATTACCCTATTATCTCAATGGGATAACCATTCTTAGATTTTAGTTAAATGACAGTTATTTCACTGCTGACCACTTTAGCAGAAGTGTTCAATCTAATTCACAGATCCCTTTGGTGTAGTTTAGCAGTAGATCCTTTTGATGATATAACTGACAAATATATTTAGTCATTTAAAGTCAAAACTTTAAATGGCAAACCTAGTTGATGAACACACACAAACATGAATCCAAGTTTTGCTATCTAAAACTGTTTTCAAATCCTGTTGTCATCTAAACATGGAGGGCATGCAGTGGTTCTGCAGCTGTTTTGCTGACTTTTTTTACTTGAAGTAGGAGTTAAATGTTTATATATGGGAATGTGGGGATTATGGGAGTTTTAGGGGTTTTCAAAGTTGGGTTGTGGGCTCTCCCAGATAAGCTACTTTGTTTATTTAAGCGTCCCTAGGCACAGAGCCTCACAGCTTTCATTGATTGTAGTTTGCTGTTTCCAGCTCCTTGAGAGGTGGTAACTAATTGTGTCAAAAATCTTCCCATTGCCTGAGTGATGTAGTTATTTATATCCGCCTAATTTCCCAAGACAGCCAGGTTTAGTCTGCTCTGCTCTTTGGAAGTTCCCTTTTCTCTTCAGACATGTTACTTTGAAGATCAGCTTGTTAAGGCTTATTCATAGTCTGTAAACTATTGCAGTTGTCATTGTTTCTCTTAGAATATGTGGTAAATTGGATGCAGATTAATCAGTAACATAATTGGTCACAAAGGTCAAAATTGCTTTGAGTGTATGTTTGGACCCTAACATGTTGAAATAGTTACATTATTTTGTTGCATCAGAACAGCTTCATTCTAGATTCAGTCCTTGTGTTGATATTTTTTGTGTTACTTTTGGTTCAGTAATGAAATTTTGTAAGTATTCCTGTAGCAAATACCAGCATATCATTTAAATACTTTGCATTCAGTAAATCTTTGTCTATCCTACAATAATGACATTAGTATACTTTCATGATATCTATAACACTAGGCATACGTAGCAAGTTGTTTTAAAACCTTGTCATAAAATTAGGGATGTTAAGAAGCGTGCAATTCATTAAGCATGTATTTTGTCGACTACACAGTGGATAAAGGTTAGCAATGAAAGCATTCAGTTTCGGCTTGTGCTGTGTCCCAGCATCAGCCCAGCTGTGGCTCTGCATTATGAAGGAACTGGGGAGCTGGCACACAGGCACGCTGGCTCAGTCCAGGCTCGCTCTCTATCCCCTAATAATGCAGAGCCGCAGCAGGGGATGATGCTGGGACTTGGCATGAGCTGGGAGTGAGCCAGCCTGCCTATGCGCTGGCTCTCCAATCACCTATTAATGCAGAGCCGCAGCGGTGTTTGCTGCCAGACCTGGCACGAGCCCGGGACCGAGTCAGCCTGTTGGCTAGCCCACTAAAAAATGTACTTGCAGGGGCGGGGAGGGGGGATTGCTTGTAGTCTGTAGTGTTAACTAATAAGCACCCAATTATCGGTTAATCAAGTACACTATTGCATCCCTACATAATACCAGTACAGGCTGAACCTCTCTGAATCAGGACTCTTTGTTCTGGCAATGTTTGGCAGAACCACGTGTGTTCCATGACCAAGAGTCCTGGTGGAGGGCTGGCAGCTGAGAGCCCTGTGAGCTAGCAGGACAGTGGACTGCCCTGCAGGCCCAGGAGCCAGGCGCACCTCTCGTCCTTATCACCAGGGCTTGCTGAGCGGCAGCGAGCCCCACTCGCCAGCCGCGTAGTTTTGCGTTCTGCGCATGCGCAGATCACTCCATGCCCACTCTTCCGGGGTGTAATCAACTCGCCACGGGCGAGTAGATTACACTATTTGTTGAGCCCTGCTCATCACCATTAGTTAACTGGGCACCTTTCATAGCTTGACCAACAAGGATTGGTTCTAGAAGCAGCAGCATACCTGTGTATTTTGCCTGTCAGAAAAGGGGCTCATACATTTAGTGTGAAGTACATCTAGGTGCTTGGAATCCAAAAGAAAATGCTGAAACGTACCACTCATGTTTCAATCTTGAATCACTGTCATCAGTTGGCTGACATCTTATTCTGTTTGGAAAAAACACCATGCCTTAATTACGAGGGTATTTTAAATTGTCATTTTAACCATGCTGGCACTAATGAATGCTTGTGACTACTCTCTTTTCCTTTAGGAGCAGGGCATTCCAGTATTTCCATTTAGTTATTACCTTTTGTGTACAATTTCAGAATATCCTGTTGAAAAAGCAGATTCATCAAGATTGCATTTAACAATTAAAAATACAGTCCATATATTGTCTTGGTTATGGAATTAGAGAATGCAGTGTTTAATCTTGGATGAGTGCTACTTAACTATGGTTTTAAAGGTATTAAATGTTCTTGGACCTGAATGATAGGATTTGAGGAAGTTCAAACAAATGTTTCCCAACAAATAGAACTAAAACTAAATTTTAAGATGTTACACCTTTAGTCAATCACAAGTGAACAAAAATTCTCTTCAGAAATTATTAATGTATCAAAGGATAGTACAGATTATTGCAAGGAAGATATTTGAAACTCTTTTTAGTGATTGAGAATTCTGAGAGTTTACATTTGAAAATACGGGTATTCTTATCCCAGGAAGCATGTTGAATTTTTAAGATGGAGAGAGCAGAAAGAATTTACTGGATGTGAAGCTTCACACAATTAATATTACCTATCAGGCAGGATGCAAAATCTTGGTTTTCACTACGATTACGTAAACATCAATGATATTTTATTTGCCTTGCAAATCTACTCACCTGAGGAGTGTTATGAAGAACTTTCTTAGAAGTAGAAGATGGCAATTAGCCAATGTGGTTTAGCCACATAAATTAGGGATGTCAGTGTGTAGATAACTACATGATTAACCGATAAGTTTGGACTTATCAGTTAATCCTGCTGACTAGACACATTCCCCCTCCCCTTGCTGGCTCTGTTTCCCTGGCTCAAATCTACTCACCTGAGGAGTGTTATGAAGAACTTTCTTAGAAGTAGAAGATGGCAATTAGCCAATGTGGTTTAGCCACATAAATTAGGGATGTCAGTGTGTAGATAACTACATGATTAACCGATAAGTTTGGACTTATCAGTTAATCCTGCTGACTAGACACATTCCCCCTCCCCTTGCTGGCTCTGTTTCCCTGGCTCCCTATGAGCACCAGATCTACCTCCTCCCCCCCTGCCCCC